GTTGCCGGTCCTGGTCCGGTACGGGCACGACACTGAGGGTTGCGATCCCGTTGCCGGTCCTGGTCCGGTACGGGCACGACACTGAGGGTTGCGATCCGTTGCCGGTCATGAAAAAAGACAAAAAAAAAAAAAAAAAGGGAAAATAAAAACGAAAACATAGAGGGGCCATAAGTAGGTGTTAAATGAGTGAATGAACCACCTCAAGAACATCATTTTAGTCCTCAGGGAATCACTTCGCTGAGCTGTGCTTTATCATCACGCCTATCAGCTCAAGTACATTCACCTGAGCATGTGCTGTGTATGCACTATGTCTAGCACGTCATCTATTTTACCGCTTATTTTATTTATTACTAAGTGTTCCATGATGACATCACTTATTTTATTTTTTACTAGATAAGGTATGCTTACTCTACATAACTCGAAAGGTACCAAAGATGTACAGTGAAACGTAACTCTCTCACCGGCCCTCCTCCCCAAGCCACCTATTTCCTTCCCATCTTCTTTCATGTCCTTCCAGAGAAGATGGACAAATAGTTAACACATTTTATGCTATGGTAGCATTTTATCCACACTGTTTTGCAACTTGCTTTTCTTACCTAACAACATATCCTGGGGGTCATTTCATATCAGTACACATAAGGGCACTTCAAAAAGTATGTGGGAAAAGTAGAATTAAAAGGTAATATGAATCTTTCCATGAACTTTTTGAAGTACCCTCATTTAGAATTACCTCATTTTTTTTTTTTCCTTTTTGTCTTTTTTTGTGTCCGGCAACGGATCGCAACCCTCAGTGTTGCGCCCGTACCGGACCGGGACCAGCAACGGGATCGCAACCCTCGGTGTCACGCCCGCACCTCGCTCAGCCAGTGAGCGGGAACCGGTCTGTATGTGGGATCCGAACCCTCGGCGGGAGCGCCGCCGCGCCCCCAAGTGGCGCACTGTAGCAGTGCGGCACCGGGCCGGCCCTAGAATTACCTCATTTTTTTTTAACACTTGGATAGTGTCCCTTATCATTAGGACATTGAGTTGGAAACAGCCTAATTTTGACAAATGGTTCATACAGCATTTTGTACACTCAGAGGAGAAGTATATGATGAAGCCTTAGAAATGAAAAAGCTGGGTCAAAAGGATATTTATGATTTATTTATTTTTAATTTTCAAAATTGGGATATAATCCACATATCATAAGATTTGCTCTTTTAAAGGATATGATACCGCAGTTTGGGGTATAGTCACAAATTGTGCAGCCATCACCACTATCTAGTTCCAAAACATTTTCATCACCATAAAAGGAAACTCCGCACTCATTAGCAGCCAAGATATTTCTTTTCAGTTTTAATAGTTTTTTTCGTATTGCTCCATCAAGATGAAAATAAACAACTTTTTGACCCACTTCTAGGAACTTATTTCACCACAATATATGGAATCTAATAGGTTTCTAGTGGCATCTCCTTCCGCCTCCCTACATATAACAGTATCTCATTGCTCTCATTTGAGAAGGTAAGTCCAAGTTAAGGGAAGAAAATGCAAGCCTCCCACTCCCATCATGCTGCTGCATCCTGTACAGAAACTGGACCCTGGCATACTCCCCACACTGACCATGCACCCAAAGTCCAGCCTGACTTTAAAACGTCCTTTACAGTCTTTTAGGGGATGTATCCAATCTGTACAAGTATACACAGTCGCCACCTTAACCTTGACAAGGGCAAAGCCATTCTAGTGACCTCAGTGTTCTCAGTTTAATGCTTCAGCAACCAGAAAATGAAAAAAGGAGCCATTCTCTCTGTGTCTGTTCTCAAATCCATGCACTGACTATATCAGGTTGTTCCGTCCTGGGATGACAGTCACTGGTGCCGACAGTGCCAGCTACAGGACTCCAAACAAGGCCTCCTTTGCAGCACACCCCTGCTCCGTCCACCTGCCAGCCCCTGCCTAACTGGGAAGACCTCACGGCCTAGAAAACCAACTCTGTGAACCGCTACCCTGAGTTTGCAGCCTGGCATTCAGCCCATGCTGAGAACACAGCCAGCCAAGCACCTTTAGGTGGACTATGCTTTCTTCCTCTTTCTTCCTTTCCCTCATGTGTTTTTAGGAACATCCAAAGGGAAGATAATTAAAACCTGCAAGAAAATCGGCTGGCAGAGAAAAAGAAAACCTTGGTGACTTAGGGACGACGCCACATGTTTATGGGTAAGTTTTGTAAGTAACACGGCAATAAAAAAGAGGCTCTTATAAATAAATGCCACATTCTTCAAAGCTCTATATAAACTACATTCTTTTTAAGGATGGAGGGGGGCTACTCATACTCATGTTCCTTCCTCAGCATTTCATTTCCAGCAAGAGGAAAGGAATCCTAATTGTACAATTTCCTAAGCGCACAGGAGTCATGGAGCCAATGGCACAGAAACACACACACACACACAAACACAAACACATGCATTGAGGGAAAGAAAGCAAGCAAGAAAGAAAAGAGGAAAAGGCACAGGAGGATCTTTATTTAGCACAGCAGAGTAGAATGAAGGGGCAGAAGGGCAGGATTCTCACCAGCTGACTGGGCTTTCTGGCTATTCATATTAAACACATGCACGTTAACTCAAAAGACAGAAGTTCTGCCTTCCTCTCCCGAGTGCTGAATGCTATCTGAACAGCATCAAGATTTGAGCAAGCCTGTGTAATCCCCTTTCATTTTTCATGTGCTTTGCTGATTGCAAGGTGAAGCAGAGCTGTTCACCTCTCCGCATGTGACACAAGTCTCAGGGCACATGCATTCCAGAGTGGCCTTCCCCAGGAGCCAGCTGCATGCAGGTAACTGAAGCCTGCCCTTCTCCTTGCTGTTAATAAGAGTAATTGGCACGCCACTGAGGGGCTGCTGGAGCGCTGTGATTTGCTCGGTATGGGGGTCTCCCCAGACCATATGTGCAGGCAGCGGTGATAGAAATATTTTCCATATGAGCTCTCCTCTAGCCTGCTTAAGTGCTTCAGGCTGAGTTAGGCTGGCCCATTTGTCATTACTCTACACAGTAAAAAATCAACAGGGAAGTTGCAAACTTCAGCTACAACTAGAGGGCAATGGTCTGCTCTCAGCTTCCAGCATCATGAACCCATTCAGTTCCTCCGGCTCCCATTCAAGAGCTGGATCCCCCCCAGAGGCCCAGAAAATATCTGCAGAGCAGAGGACATGGGTAACGAATAGGTGAAAAGCCTACAACAAATGACCCGTTGCTGCACATCTCAGAGCTACACATCTGTTTTGAACAGAGCAACAAGCCTGCTGGAACCACAGTGACCTTTGCAGCCGAGGGTTTGTGGGTAACTCACTTCCACTCTTCTTAGAAAAGGGAAAGTAATTACATTAGGCTTTCAGAGTCTGCTTGGTCCCTGACAAGGCTAACAAAAGGCAACGCTGTGAAGTGGCCTCATGGCCTTTTTAGGAGATACATTTTCATTTGGCTTTTCAAAGAGGAAGATGGATTCAGGAGAAAGGCTGTCCTTTCATGACTCAGGCATCGGCCTCTCAGACTCTCCATCAGGGTAAGGGGTGAAGGAGTGGAGGAGGTAATTTGCTGCAGGCTTATTTGCAGGTGAGGGTGGACACAGCAAAGTGCTTCCCTCTCTGCGCTGAATGATCATCCCTTCCAGTCTCTTTGCCTGCATCAAAAGCTGGCTCCTAGAGGCATCAATGATGTTCGAAAATGTACCCAGTAAACATAAGAGCTAAACCAATAAGAATAAATCATCGTCACGGGCCTTACAACATGCTTCCTTTCTATGGAAAGTCTGGGCACACTCCTAGCCCTGCTGTATATCACTACCCCTCTTCAAACCTATGCAGAAAGTTAAGCACAGATTTTTCCAAGCACATCTAAGCAAAAAAGGAGGAAAATGTGGTGCAGAAGCAAGAAAGGAAAGCAATTCCTCTAGCATGCATATTCTCTCTGCAGCACTGGAGAAACATTCTCAAAAGGTAACAGTCCCCATCGGAATCTGACGTGCATATTTTTTTTTTTTTTCCTGCAGCGACAGGAGAAACATGCATGCTCCAGGCATCTGTCACCGAGGCCATGCTAACTCCCCATTGTGGCAACCGTACGGACAGGCTCAGAATGAGATTTTAGAAATTACGGGATTCTTCAAGAAGAAAAGAAGTCTTAATAATAATAAAAGGCAAGACAAGCCTAAAAAGGTAATATAAAGCATTACTCTTTGCACACCATAAAAACCCATTCCCTGATCCCTCTTGGTAGATAGAAGAGGAAATATAATGCTGACAAAAATACAACCTCTGACAAGATATTTTATTTGGCTTACCTCTCCCCCAGGTCTTGCTAACATTGCTGTTTGAACGTGGAGCAATGTTAATATCAGGTAGCTGACAAACATTATTACCCAAAGTTAGAACTACCCTAGAGGAGAACTCCGTCTGCCAAGTGCTAACAGCTAGCAGATGCACTTGTGTCTCGGGATTCCAGCCCTGGAGTTCTGCTAGGCACCGCGCTGGTTTCCTCGGCTCTCCCTCACTGTACTACCCGGCGCTCCGAGCTCAGCCTCTGCTCTGAAGAAAACTGGTAAGCTGATCTCTTCATGTAATAACTTCTCCCGGCTGGGGGAGGGGACAGGAGCCAGCTGGGAGCTGGGGGGCTGCCTTTAACAGAAAGCAGAAAGGGGAGGGACAGAAATGATCAATGTAGAGTTGTGCATCTGGTCTCATTCATGAAAAGGGCTCCAAGGTAAGCACTCCACACACCGGGGGACGGCCCCTGCCTCATCAACTGTGGCAGGATGAGCTCCAGGCTGGAAGCTGGGAGACTTGGAGGTTTCCTAGTCCAGGATCTGGGTCTGACAAGCTGTGTGTGCCTGGACAGGTTGCCAACCCTCTCTGGGCTACAGTTTATTTCCTCACTGGTACAAACAAGGGTTAGGTAGATGATCTCTGAGTTCCCTTTTAGTTCTGATTTGATGATTGCAGAAATCTAGGCAAAGGCTGCATTATCAAGGGCAGCCTCAAAAGTGAAAACAGTCACAAAGGTGCTGTGTGTTTGTGCCCCGATCATATGGACATGAATGGATGGGAACTAGGGATGCCACTATATCCCCCTCTTGCTGCATCCCCAGTCACTGTGCCTAACCAAGAGCTTGAGAAATTATTGCGGATGGTATAAAAATAATGGTAAGGTGAGAACATGCAATTCCCAGGTGTTGGCACTGGCAGAGTGCACTTAAATGCAGGATGGCTTTAAAGTAATCAGAGCTACCTCTGGGTAGACTCAGATTGACCATCAAAGAGGGGCTTAGGGGAGCAGGTTGGGACACAGGTATCGCTAAAGCTGATAGTACACTTTAGACACGCCCTAAATGGTCAAGTCATTTTGAAATAGCAGGGATCATGGTTTAAAATGGGTTGAGAACCCACTAAGCATTGGACTCTGCCTAGAATGGGCTCAAGGAACTATTCTGAGGCTATTGGTGACCACAGAGGACAGGATGACAGCAAGAGGCAGTGGAAACAGCCTGGGTTCCTGGACTCAGGCAAGTGTCGTTCAAACCCTGTTCTACTACTAACTCCCTGTGGGTCTCTGGGTGAGTATTTAACCCCGGAGAGCCCCAGCTGCCCCTCGTGTGAAGTGGGGAAATGCCATGCAATGGTTATGGTGATTATCAGTGAGGTCACCTGGGCACAAAACTTGGCATAGTTCCTGGTACACAGCAAGTACTAAAGACATGGGTTTTCTCTTTGATCTGAAAATAAATATCAGCACTCAGTCCCAGAAAGTAAATTAATAAACACTTGAAAAGCCTCAGGTTACTGGCATTTTCCTGCATTAATGAGGAAACTTTAAACCTAGCTGCAGTTTGCAGCCATCTCAGAAAGTTTATTATCACCAGTCACTGGACAATTTATTAGTGGGGAGTTTTTTCTTGGGGGGTTGGATGGGAGGGACTTAGAATCCCTTTTTTCAGGGCTGTAAGAGAAAGAAGGTAGGGTGAAGATAGGATCTCCAGTTAAAGAAAGAGAGGAATGAATTTCTTCTCTTCCCCTCTTCTTCCCCTTCCTCCTCCTTATTCATTGTTACTGTTCAGCATTGGGTCTGTTCTGCTACCTAACTGAAGCGGCACTGTTATCTGCTCAATAACCTTACCAGAAAGGCAGGAATTATTTAAGAAAACCAAAGGTCATGAAAGACCAGGAGTTGGGAAACTTTCTGTAAAGGCTGGAGAGTAAATATTTTTGGTTTTGCAGACCATATAGTCTCTGTGGCAACTACTCAACTCTGCCACTGTAGCACAAAAGCAACTACAGACAACACACACATGAATGGATATGTATGACTATGTTCCAATAAAACTTTATTTACAAAAACAGGCGGCAGGCCAGATTGGACGGGTTCATCCATGCTGTAGCATGTATCAAAACTTCATTCCTTTTTATGGTTGAATAATGTTCCATCATATAGATATCCCACATTTTGTTTATCCATTCATCTGCTGATGGACACTTGGATTGCTTCAACCTTTTGGCTGTTGTGAATAGTGCTGCTATGTGTTCATAGTGTGGGTGTATAAGTATCTGTTTGAATCTCTGCTTTCAGTTCTTCTGTATATCTAGGAGTGAAATTGCTGGATCATGGGGTAATTCTATGTTTAACTTTTTGAGAAACTGCAAAACTGTTTTCCGTAGCGGCTGCACTGTTTTACATTCCTACCAGTAATGTATGAAGGTTCAATTTCTCTATAGACTTACCAACACTTACTTTCCACTTTTTAAATAATAGCCATCTTAATGAGTGTGAAGTGTGTGTCCTCCTTTATGAACCACTCTCTTCCCACAGCTTTCAGGACACCACTCTCTAGTTTTCCTTTGCCTCTAGCGTTATTCTAAGAACCTTCAGATGGTGTCTCTTATAATCCTGACTATAGCCTTGGTAAATTAAGTAACTTGCCCCATGTCACACAATGGGTAGGTGGCAAAGCCAGCATTCTGGCCCTAGCAGCCTGCTGACAGCATTGCTCTACTGTCACTTCTCTGGACATGCTCCAGTCTCTTTGCTACCTCCTGGACCTAGCTCCTAAATGCCTGTGCTCTAGGCACTCTCTATACTCTGTCCACTCTCCATGGGCCAGTTCATCATTTCATTGGCTCCAACCACTCTTTACACACCCATGACTCTCTACAACTATCTGTAGCCAGGTCTTCCTCCTGACCTGCAGGCCCATATATCCAGTTGCCTGATGGATACATGGATCCCTCAAATGTACTCCAAACTCAACAGGTCTGAAACTGAACCATTGTTTCCCTGAAACCTATCCTTACTCTTGTTTCTTCCACTTCAATGAATGACATCATGACCCACATACTTTCTGGAGGCTGAAAACAGGGTGTTATCTTGAGTTTTCCCACTTCCTTACTTCCTTATCCAAACCATCACCAGGTCTGACCGAGTTTCCTTCTGGAGATCTCTCCAGTTGGTCTAGGACCCCAGATCCTGCTGCCCTTGTTCCCATCTAGCCCTCCACAGTAATTAATAAATATTTCAGGGGAGATACTTTGAGGCTATGCAAATATCCTGTTTCTCCTTGAAGTTTCACCCACTAATTTCAGTATTCATCCATAGATCTTGCCTGCAGCAATTATTACTGTAATGCTTAATGGTGACTTTCTGTTTCCCTCACGGCTTCTACATTTATTAATCAGAATTCATCAGTATGGAAGATTTGTCCCTTCTCCTTCCATAGATCTTGCCTGCAGCAATTATTACTGTAATGCTTAATGGTGACTTTCTGTTTCCCTCATGGCTTCTACATTTATTAATCAGAATTCATCAGTATGGAAGATTTGTCCCTTCTCCTTATTTTATATAGTAGTTCAATCATTTATTTATTCTCCCCTGCTTCTTAAAATCTTTTGATGGCTCTCCATTAGTGATGAAGTCCAACCCCCTTATTACGACAATTATAAGACTGTTTGCAATCTGGTCTCTTCCTGCCTTTCCAGCCTCCTCCCTGTCTTCTATTCACACATACTCCACTCTCCAGCCACCCTGAGCCAAAAGAAACTATCCCAAAATACCATGTGTCCTTGTCCTCCATGCCTTCTTTCATGCTAATTAGTCCCTTTCTCTGGAATGTCATTCCCTATCCTCACTGAGTTAGGTCCTGCTGCTTTTTGCCTCTGAACACTCAGCTCAAATTTTCTATAGGCACCAAATATTGGAAACGACCTGAATGCCCAAGATAAGGACCAACTGGATGCAGATGGTCCCTGACTTATGACGGTTCAACTTTATGACAGCTTACTGGGATGTAACCCCATTGTAAGTCAAGGAGCATCTGTAATTTTTGACATGTATAAAATGTACACTGCAGCAGTAAAAAAAAAGGAAAAAAGAAAAAAATTGAGATTTCTTCCTATGTGATGATATAAAACATCTTCAAGGTCTATTGTTACATGAAAGAAATAAAGTGTGCAATGATGTGATTACTGTACTATTATTTGTGTATATGTTTGTAATTGTTATATATGATTTAAATTTAGTCATGGGATACATAATGACTTTCAGTTAATGATGAGCCACATATAAGACAGTGGTCCCATAAGATTATAATGCTGTATTTTTACTGTACCTTTTGTATGTTTAGATACACAAATACTTTGCATTGTGTTACAGTTGTCTACAGTATTCACTACAGTAACATGCTATAGGGGTTTGAAGCCTGGGAGCAGTAAGCTCTGTCACACATCCTCGGTGTGTAGTAGGCTATACCATTTAGGTTTGTGTAAGCACACTCTATGGTGTTCCCACAATGACAAAATTGCCTAATGAGGGATGCACTTCTCAGAACCTATCCCCATCGTTAAGTAATGTTCATCACTGTATCTATGGAAGAACACACAGCAGGCCACCAACAATGGCTACCTCTAGGGAAGGGAACTGAGTAGCTTCAGGGCAGAAATAGGAGAGAAATTTATTACTCTACATCAGCGCTATCTCATGCGGTAGCCACGTAGCCACATGTGACTACTGGGCACTTGAAATGTAGCTATGGGCCGGCCCGGTGGCGCACTGGAGAGTGCACCACTTGGGAGTGTGGTGGCGCTCCCGCCCAGGGTTCGTATCCCATGTGGAGACCAGTTCCCGCTCACTGGCTGAGCGCGGTGCGGGCGCAACACCGAGGGTTGCGATCCCATTGCCGGTCCCGGGAACGGGCGTGACACCGAGGGTTGCGATCCTGTTACTGGTCAGTAAAAAAGACAAAAAAAAAAAAAAAGAAATGTAGCTATTCCAAACTGCAATATGTTGTAAGTGTAAAATATACTTTGTATCAGTTTGAAGACTTGGTACAAAAAAGAATGTAAACTATTTCATTAATATGTTTTTATGCTGATTAGATGTTGAAGTGATTAATATTTTGAATATGTTGGGTTAAATGAAATATATTAAAGTTAATTTCATTTGTTTCATTTTACTTTTTTAAACATAGCTACTAGAAAAAATTTAAATCACATCATATTTCTATTGGATAACACTTCTATATTCGCTTTCGTACTTACTGAATTGTCAAATATGTGAATGTATTGCTATTGAGAAAATA